CTTATTTTTTTTGAGTAAATAATAATTTGCAACATGTACTAAACACTGGTATTATATTTTATTTAATATAATTTAATCATAATATATAGTATATATTATATATTTATTTATTATTATTATTTGTTAATTTTATTTTTTAAGAAATTGATTCCTATACATATGGGAATGGGAAAAAACTTGCATTTGGTGTGGAATGACTAATTTCATGAAGATGAGTTTTGCAATTTCTATCGCAATGGTCATTCATTTACAAAAAATATACCAATCATGAGATAAAAAATGAGTAAGAAAATTAATATTTCATTCTCATGTCATTCCCTCGTACGAATCATGTCATTATGATAGTAGGATGGGATAGCAACTCGAAGGATGTATATAAACATGTGGCCAATATTCCATCAAGCATCTCAAGATAAAACAAAACAAAAAATGAACTATAAAATAAAATTCAATTATACCACTTAGCATCTTGAAAGGTCTAATTTTTTGCATTGTAGTGGAAGCTTAATAATGAAAATTTGGTATGGCACTAAAACAAATGAATTAATATGACCAACAACTCTTCATCATTATAATTAAAAAGANAAAAAAAAAAAAAACCCAATAGACAAACTGGAACAGTTCAATTCCATGAAATAATTTGAGCCACTCCCGTTGTTATAACTCGACCAGTACCTTTCATATACTATGACGTTTAAAAAAGAAATGTTATGAATGATGAATCAATATCTTAGGCAAACCCATGTATGCCATTACATTGCAAAATAGCAACTTCTACATCAAACATTGTATATAAATCTTGACACTAAAGTTATGTTTAGATTAGTTAGACATTCATACTTTTTAAAATTAACATTTATATATTCATATCATGTCACTTAAAAAAAATATAATGAAAACATGATCTTTAATTCAATTTTTATAATGTATATGTACATTTATTTTATAAAAAAATGTAATAATTCTTATTCCAACATTTATGCTATTCGCAAAAGATATTCTAATTATAAAAAAATGGTGAAAATATATATGCAAAAATTGGTGGAAATGTTTTTTTTACTCTGTCATGTATAGAATAACCGTTATACTATAATTAATCAGATTAAGATTGTTGTTATTATGTATGTCTGACGTTTATATAGTTATAATATTTTAAAAAATATACATATTTTGAAAGTGAATGTTATACTAAAAAAATGCTATAAAATAAAAATATAACACATCATTTATAATTATTTTTTGTAAAAATGTATAACCATTCACCCACCTCACGTTTTGTCCGCTCCTACACTAATTTGTGTTATCCTATTTATTTGGCTAGGTGAGATTATGTAAAATCCTATTAGCTTTATCATATATTGAATAGAGATTCGTAATTCAATTATCAAATTGCCCATACAACTATACAAGTGCTCGTCCATTTATTTATCTATTTCAAAAGAAAGTTGCTACCACGTGAATAAAGAAGATTGCGACTTGGATGCCTTGCACCTAATCCACAAATTATTATTTTTTTATTTATTAAAATACACATGAATTTATGAATACAATTCGTCAATTATCACATCACAAAAACTTTTATAACAGACTCCTATTTCTCAAAGAAAACTCGTAATTCACATAGGAATATTCATTCAGAGACGTATTCAATTCAACCAACAAGAACATTTAACCAAGGATTTTTAAAAACAAAAGCAAAGACAAAAAAAAAAAAGTAAAAATGAATAATTCGAATTACGTGGCCGGCCTAGTTCGGCCCGAACCCGGCCCGAATGGATTGACACCTCCACTGTAACTGGATGAGGCCGTACTGGAAGACGACGAGCCCGAAACAGAAAGTAGTTCAACTAAGGCAGTCATCGCTCTCACCTGCCAAGGGCAGAACCGTAAATTTTGCTCTATTATTAGAAAAAAAACATTATTCCTAAATTTAGAATTAATAAAAAAATAGTTAAAATTTCTTTTTTTATACCTGCATCTGAAGGGCGGGTATGTAATCGGCGGCCTCCTCTAGAACCACCGGGAGAGACTCTTTCCGGCAGCCGGGGACCAGCCGGCCTAGGACGCGCGCCTTGCGCTGGACCGCCGGCAGCGACTTGGACCTCAGGCTGGAGATCTTCAGCTTCGATTTCCTCCGCATCCGGCCGCCGCCGCCGCCGCTGGTGACCACTGCTATCACCCGGTTCTGCCGCTTCGCCATGTTGTTCTTCTTCATGAACTTCAGCCTCAGTCTGCTCGTGAGGATAGCGCGGCTCCACCGCGTCCGTCCCCTCGCCGTCGCCGCCAGGACCCGGTCAGCCGCCTCGTGTACCCGCCTCGGGCCGGCGGCGGCGGCGCCGCTGTCCTGACGGACCTGGCGCAGCGCTTGGAGCAGCTTCGACGAGTAGATTTGCTGCTGTGCGTCGGATCTCCACTCGATCGGCGAATTTTCCCGGTTTTCGGTTGGATTTTGGCTCTGGCTTTGGATTTTCTTCCTTTTCCTCCTCCTAGCCGGCGATCGGTCGGAATTTACAGGCGGATTTGGTGACAGAAGCGGTGACGTCATATTCACGCCGTGGAGCTGCAGATTCAGGCGGATTGGAACAGAAAAGGGGGAAGAAATGGATTTCAGATTCAGAAAAGTGCTGCTGCTTGAAGATTCAAAGAGGTATCGGATAAAAGCAGATAAAAATCGAATCAACGTAATTTCGAAATTAAAACAATGATTTAGAGTAATCAATTGATGCAATCAATCAAGTTTCGTATATGAAGAAACTAATCAATTATTCAATTAAATGCGTTCGGAAGGAAAAAGAACAGAGAAAATCAAACGATAAACAAAAGCGAAAATCATCACCTGATGAGAAGCTGTTCTTCTTCTTAGTCTTCTTCTTCGATGTTGCTGTTGAATTTGAGAGGAAAATCAAACAGAGAAAAAAAAAAAGAAATTATGAGAAATAAATCTGAGTGTATATAAATGCGAGTGGGGTTTTATAGAGGAAATGGTGGAGGCTGTATAAGGGAATCACGGGAAGGGGAGTGCACGCGTAGCCACAGCACATGCCAAGCCCACGCACTTTGTTTATTTATATTATATTAATTATTTTATTATTCTTTTTGTTTTTTCTTGTTTTTCTTTGGTAATAATAAGATTTGAGAGAAGTGCACGGTAAACGAACAGAATCGAACCGAACCGAACTTGGGCTGTTCGAGCTCGTGTTCGTTTACGTTCGAACAATGTTTGTGTTCGTTCGTTTATTTTTCGAGCAAAAAATCGTGTTCGAGTTCGTTCGTTTAATTATTCGTTAAAGTTCGAGTTCGTTCATATTCGAATAATTTAATACACAAACTTTTTAAATATGTCTGATTAACAAGAAATTTGTTCGTTCGAACTCGAAAATAAGAGAATAAAATAAAAATATTTTTATATTTTAGATTTTTTATTAGAAATATTATGTGAATATATAAAAAATAAATAAAATTATATTAAATTTTAGGTATTATATTAAAAATATTATGTAAATATATAAAAAAAATAAAATTATATTAAATTAATGTTCGCGAACATAATCGAACGTTCACGAACGAGCTCGTGTTCGTTCGATTATAAAACGAGTCTAATTTTCTGTTTGAACTCGGCTCGATTAACAAACGAACGAGCTTTTGTCGAACACGGACGAGCTCGAACGTGCTTTTGTTCGCGAAGATTCGGTTCGTTTACAGCTCTAAGTGCACCTATAAATTGAACAAGCGACTCGTCGATTGTGAGCTCCATTTGATTTGAATTCGTCTCTTCTCACTTGATGAACGATTTGAATTTGTTTAGTTGATGTGCCAAACTCGGCTCGACGCTCGTTAGGCGTTTTATATATGTTTTTATTTTTGGAAAATGTTGGACGTTTAACATTAATTTACAACTTTTATTTACAAATTGACGTGGCATTATAAGCTGGACATGTATTATTTTAATTTACAAACATAAAGAAAATAAAAAATAAAATAGAGAAGAAAGGAATTCACATCTAACCGTCAGTCCCCAAAATCCCTAAGACAGTGGCATTATAAGCTGGACATGTATTATTTTACCACAAACAAATATTCTGGACCTGGATTACTTTGATATCTGGCTACCATGCTCACAACATGACAGATATATGGCCGCGTACACAACATTGCATACAGAAGGCTTCCTACTGCCGATGCATAAATAACTGCCTTCATGTTTTCTATCTCTTGAGGCGTCTTTGGAGACATCTTCTTAGATAGAGAGATTCCATGTCAATAAGGCAATTGCCCTTTCTTCGAACCTTGCATGTTGAAACGCGCCAAGATAGTGTCTATGCATGTGGAATAGGATAGGCACACTTTCTCTTCTCTCTGTCTCGAATGACCTTGATTATGAGAACATGTCCTACTTCTCCCAGATACTTCATATCAAACTGCTTGGATAACCATACCTTTACGTCTGATAACTTCTTCACACTGTTTCCAACGAGAAGAATGTCATCTACGTATAGCACAAGAAACATCACCACGTTTTCATCACTTTTCTTGTACACACAGTGCTCATCCGAATATTGGGTAAATCCATACGACTGGACAACCTCGTCAAAATGGATGTTCCAAGATCTCGAAGCTTGATTCACTCCATAAATAGACCGCTTCAGCTTACAGACTAGATGCTCTAGTCGTTTTGAAATGAACCCTTCTGGTTGCTGCATGTAGATGTACTCGTCCAAATTCCATTAAGGAAAGCGGTATTAACATCCATTTTATAGATCTCATAATCCATATGTGTGGCCACAACCAAGAGAATCCTGATGGATTTTGCATAGTTACCGGCGAAAAGATTTTTTCATAATCGATCCCTTCTTTCTGAGTATACCCCTTCGCAACAAGAAGCCTAGCCTTGAAGGTCTCAACCTTCCCATTTGCTCCTCTCTTTCTCATATAGACCCACTTTCATCCAATGGCGCGAATGCCACTGGGTGGCTCTACAAGATCCCAAACCTGATTGGAATCCATAGACTCCATCTTAGATTTCATCGCTCTTTGCCAAGACTCTGCGTCCCGATCTTGGAGTGCCTCATTGTATGTCCATGGGCCGATTTCAAGCATATCTGAGACGGCCTCAGAAGACTCTCCCAGACCCATGAATCGATTGGGCTGCCGGAAAACCCTCTCACTATGACGAGGTACTACCTGCTCAGGTGCATCATCAGTGATATGTGTTGCAGTATTATGTGGTGTAACAGCAAGTGCACTCGGTATTGAAGTACTCGCCCCCTCTATGTATAATGTGCTGTTAGAATATTTACGGTCACCGTGTGCGTTAGTTTAATGATGTTCTCGAGATAAGCTCATGAAGGATTATTTTGTTAAATCTGGCCAATGGAATTTATCCCCACATAATAAAAATGTGATGAGTGGTACTAGTCTCGATTACAGATGTCGATTAATTTAATTGTTAGTAATTAAATCAATTGATGAACATTATATCTTAAACACGGGGAGATAAATCGAATAATTATTATTGGAGACTCAAATATAATTCAGGAATTAAATTGGAGTTTATTCAATAATACTACTTTAGTGGAATGTATGTATTATTCATACTTGGGTTTGGTAGGCTTGGCCTATAGTCTAATCCAAAGAGGAGAAACTCAATTTAATACCTCCTTAGGGTCCCTGTTGTAACCTATAAATACATCACATCTCTTGAGATTAGGAGAAGATTATTAATATTCACGTGAAACACGATTGAGAGACACGCCCTCTCTTTTTGTTCTCTCTCTTCTGTTCTCTTCTTCTTCTTCTTCAAGTAATCCCAGTAGAGATATCTCCGATTAATCGCCAACCAAGATGATCAGATGAGATGTGAGAACCATGAGAACCATATTTGATGCTATTTTTAATTGTGTATGATGCTATTTTTAATCTCACATGGTGCTATCATTTTTACAAATGCTAACATAAATTGTGTCGCTATTTTTAATAAAATACATCCTGATTAAAAATAGCACTAAAATACAATCAATCATAGCACTACATACAATTAAAAATAGCGGTTCTCACGGTTCTCACGCTAGGACTTAGTTCTCATTTGAACCAAATCCTATATATATATATATATAGAGAGAGAGAGAGAGAGAGAGAGAGTATATATATATATATATATATATATATACAACCTCGTAATTTATCTGCAATTCGCGAGGTTGTCCGTTCTTCACGAAAAGGGAGAATTATGTCAACCGGATGTATTGGAATTATCTGACGACCATCCCACGACGACCGGTGACCTCCGGCGACTCTCCGATCACATTCTGGCGACCAGACGCGCCGACGCCACACGCGCCCTCACGCGCCGCCATAGCACGCCTGTCCAATTTCTGCAGCCCAACTCACCTGGTGGATTTCTGCGCGTACAGCTCGCAAGGAGAAGGCTCAGGCGTCCTTTTCTCCAGCCCATGTCCGCGCGTGTGGAGAAGCCCGCCAGCGGGTAGTGGCCCAATGCATGGAGCGGCCCAAATCGGAGGAGGCCAAACGGGAGAGGAGAAAAGGCGCGCGGGCAGCGTCCAGTCCGCACGCGGCCTGATCTTCCTCACAGCTCCGGCCCGCGAAGCCCGGTCCCAGCCCGCGAGACCCAGAATCAGCCCGCGAGCCCGTTACTCGTCCTCCAGCCCACCAGCGCGAGTTTCAGCCCTTCAATGACCCATCATCGCGGCCCAGATGCATTGTGGCGCAGCCCAGTCCTTCCTAGCGTGGCCCAGGACGTCCCAGCTAGCCCAGATGATCTCCAGCGCGGCCCAGTGACCTGGACAACAAACTAGGGTGGTCCAGACCAAGGCCAAGTAGTCTAGTAGGGGTCCAGTGAGTTCACGGTGTGTCCGGGACGGTCCGATATGAATAGGGAACGATCCGATGACTCGAAAAAATTTAAAAACGGTACGCTTTGAACCCTCGCTTCTAGTTCCGCTGTGCTTAGGGTTTAATTCGTAGATAGTCTGTGACTTGCATATTATCGAGATCCTCACGGTGGTGGTTGGCCGGAAAAAGTGGATCTTCAAAGTTTGAATTATCTCACCTTAAGATCTTCGAACGTATTACCTTAACACCTACTTCGACTAATCTTGGTGTTGCAATTAATCGAAACTACCGAACTCTCGAATATATAATGAAGCTCGATTGTCCTCTCTTTGAAAGACCTAAAAATCAACCAACATCAATAGTAGGGGAAGAGGTTGGGACATGGTGTATTTATAGGCTACATTAGGGACCTTAAGGTAGTGCTAAATATGGGGTTATCCCATTAGGCTTAGGAATCCTAATCATGCTCCATATCCTTTCCCATTTAGACGTCTTACCTCCTAACCTCAATCACCCTTCTAGAAGACTCTATAGTCTAGGGCGATTACTAGAAGGAATATTCCTCTCCTAATGGAATCTAAATTATAGAATATAATTAATTTCTAAATCCTAATTAGAATTAAATAATAAAATATCTCACTAGAGTAATATTATTGCTCTCCCTATTTAGCTCCACTTTATTCATTAAATTTAAACCTTCAAATGATTAATTAATATTAATCTAATTGACCGATTTACCTCCCCATGTTTAAGATATAATGTCCGTCGATTAATTTAATTACTGATAATAAAATTATTTCGACTTCTTCATTTTCGAAATTACTACAACTCAATTCATTAATCATTATGCCGGATAATTATCCACCTGCAGGGTTTGACATAATATTACTTCCTGAGCTCATTTCGGGGACGTCATCAACCTAGCGCACTGGGACATAGTGACTGTAAATAATTTATAATGGCACATCATATAAACACTCTTACTTACCAAAATACGTATATGTCATCCTATCAGAATAGGAATCACCCTTGGTAAATCAAATAAATAGGTAATGAATATATATGCCATTTTATATTATCTTGCAGTTTAAGAGAATGCATCAATCACTGAAGGTCTAGATTATAACAACGATAAGTAAATCTTGTAATCTTATCCTTCCGCGGTTCGATCAATACTTATCATAAGTATTAGTGTAACCCATCAGTCAAAGATCAACTGAATCAAGACTACACTACAATCTTTATCCAACAGGGGGACATATATGCCTGTTTTATATTATATTACAATTTAAGAGTGTGCCTCAATTACTGAAGGTCTAGATTATAACAACGATATGTAAATCTTATAACCTTTTCCTTCTGCGGTCCGTTCAATACTTATCATAAGTACAAGTGTAACCCATCAGTGAAAGACCAATTGAATCAAGACTACACTACAGTTTTTTTCCAATAGGGGTCTCACTGTTTGTCTAGACTGTGAACAATTAATTTATATTTTACAAGGAACAGATAATATGATCTTTCTGTTCGACATGACGAACCACACTATCTAAAATATAAAACAAAGGAGTTATGGTTGCATAAATGAATAAACTGCAAATATAAATACTTTGACTAAACCACGATTGCCAGATCAAATGGAATTGTCAATAATTGAAAGTCAAGCTTTTACAATATATCCTACAAAACACGCGGACCAAAGCCAACGGTGGCGACCCACGGAAGAAGATGTCGTCATGTGGTTGTGTATCAGTTGCAGATGGCTGCTCCAAATTACTAATCAACTCCACAGTCTCTTCTGACTTCCTGGTATCCCATGTCGTGGTCGGAGGGGCGGAGGCTCCGTCTGCCGCAAATGATTGCTAGGGCAGCGAGCGCGACTGATTGCAACAGATTTCGCCCCATCCGTATTATCAATCTAGTTTAGGGATTAATTGAGGTGTTTAATGCGAATTCTTTTCTTTTCTATTTTAATACCACATCAGTTTTAATGCCACATCAGTTTGTAAACCAATGTTGTTAATATTTGTTGTACGTGTAGCGCGACTGTGT